TCCTAGAGTATACCGAGACGTCATCGACTGCAGGAACCCGTCGTTATTCGTGATTATCGTCGACGTCATTTTGACCGTAGTGACACATAGTGGTTACCTTGCATGTGCTCCAGCATGATGGCAGGAAGAAAATGTGTTGTATGAAACATGATCGCCATCGTCAGCGGCGGCTGTGACGCACGCCAACGCCGGACAAGCCATGACCTTCAGGAGTATCACCCTTAAAACCTACATATTCATGCCGTATTTACGTGACGATGGGATATCTAGCGTCTAGCTGCGGGGATCTACGCTGAATGTTTTTATCGGCATTGCTCTTCGGAGTCGGTTTGTCGCCAATGTTCGCGTGCCCGCTCATTCATGTATGCAACCTTACTCAGTGCCTTCAATGACATTCGGAACATCGGTGATGTTAAAAAAAATTGTGATAACATCTGTGGACACTGCACTCTACGCGTTTAAAATACAACAGCGGAGCAAAGTTTGATGGCGAGATAGTACTTTTTTTTTAATTTGAACTGCCAAGTTGGGAGCAGCGGCCCTTATGTGCGCGCAGCCCTTAGTCGAGTTTATACGGTACTTACAACGTTACAACGTAACTACTAGCTTGCGCAAAGCTCCCCCCCCCCCCCCCCGCCAAAAAAATCGGAAACTATCCCGATAATCTAAGAAGGAAGGCAGGAAGGGACTTCGTGAGTTGTAGTTGCACGCACTAAATTTGTAGTTTAGCTATTGTGATACAATATTATTCAACAGACGTTCACTCTTTCCACATCTTCGACCTGCCATATCACTTTTACAGTGAAATATTCTGTCACTGATGAAGCGGGAAAGCTGTGCAACCACTGTTCGGCCACGTCAGCTGACGCGCAATTTTTATGCGGTAGTTAGCATGGTTCGCTGCTTTCCGTTTTCTTGAGAGCATTTTGGTTTTCTAATTCGCTCATGTAGCCACAATGTAGTTATGGAGGCTAGTCGCTGTAAGTATATGTATACTGCTGTACGGTGCTGCAGGAGCTGTGATAGTGACGAAGGCATCGATTTTTGCAGGTTCCCCGACAATGACAGGTAGGTTCGTTTTGGCAATGCGTGCATACATGTTAGTTTCAGTCGCTTATTTTATTTTGGGACTTCGTTGCCGTTGTCCTTCTTGTGTATTGGTGTACTACGTGCATTTGCACTTAACAGAGACCTATGCGAATGCTGGCGGATCTCTCGACTTCCACTCCAGCACGATAGTTTTGTGTAACCCCCCCCCCCCTGCTTCTGTCATTAGGTTGACCGCAGTTTATCGTAACACCTGAAACCACAACACATCTCCCCGTTCGGGCTACCATGGTGGGATGCGAAAGCTTCGCGAGGGGCACGCATTGAGTTTTCGTTTCTCTTACGTGACTCATGAGACGATGGTTGTCGAGGTGTTTGAATTAGCGTTTGGCAACGCTGACGTTTACGTTCAGCTTCCCAATCTTCCTCTCCACCGCTGCGGTGGGGCTGCTGCTGAAACTAGCACCGACTCAATGGCGTTTCGCACACCATTGCACGGAGAGAGCATGACGGAAGCACAGCGAACGCTCACTTCCGCAGTTCCGAGATTTGGTTGCCGGCGTTGCCGTTTACGTTCAGCTTCGCGAGCTTACATAGCGTCGTTGCGAAGGAGAGTGCAATGAGCGGGCGCGCGCCGCATTATATACGAGCGCACGGCTGTGGCGGATTGAAATGGGAGAGGAGAAACAAAGCGGAGGCAGCACTCACGTTACCTTCTTCACCCCTCACGCTCACGCGTGGAGAGGGGCACAGTTGGCGCATGCGCAGTATGGGCGGGGATGCCGCAAACCGGACACTGCCCCGAGTTCAAAGGGGCTATGCAACACTTTTTGAGCATGGTCGTAAAACACTGCTGATCGGTAGTATTGGCTCCTGAGAAACGCAAGCCAAATTTCATAGCGCAGCAGGCGGCCTGGAATTCACAATAAATAATCAAATTCAGCTAAAAAATAGCTTTCTCTTCTGTCGACTAATCACGAAGTCCAAAACTAACGCGTAATAAGCCCATCTATCAGCCATTGGCTGATTTGAACATGGCGCACCCGGTTGTTATGGAGATCGCCGCGAGAAGCCGCCACTTGTCCACGCGTGCGCATGCGATCGTGCCGAGAAAGCCGCGTATTCAAAGAAAAAATTAACAAAAAGTGCTCAAGGTCACGTGATGGCGCACGTGATGTTTTTGTTTGCCCCTCCCATCCCTCCCTGCTTAGCTTCCAGCGCTTTCGTCGGGACGAGAGAAGAGATGATGCGATTGCAGCTTGTGACAAGTCTTTGTAACTCCGCTCGTACTGGACGGTTTCTTAAAATTTTTGTGGCGTTGAATTTGCGAGTGAATACGGTTTTGCGGAATGAATTCCATGGCTACTCAAAAATGTTCCAGGGCCTCTTTATGTTGCTTTCGCATCTAATATATGGTGTCGTTAATCCACGCTCGCCGAAAGCAAGTGCTCAAACTAGAAGCTGTCGCTGTAGCAGCTTATGCTGTTGCTTTACAACTGTTTTATTATACAAATTATTGCAATTGCTAACTTACCATGTGAACAGGGGCGACGCGCTTTTTCTGTTCGTTTTGTACTTGAAGACGAAGGCTTGCTGCTTATGAGTTGCCAAATGGTATCAATGAGAAAGATTTACGTTTTGAATTGAAAAGCATTGCCGGCTCAGTGCCAGCAAAGAATGTTGTTCTTCTATACTGGCTCGTGAATCATACGAAGGGTGTCAACACATACTCATTGGTTTTATGTAAACCAGCTTGACATGTAAATGCGCTTAACAAGCGGGTGAACAAGTACAAGGCGCATGTTGCCTGAAGTGAGTTCAGTTCTCTTTCGTGGTGTGGGGGCATAATCACAAAATACATAGGCATAAAAAAAACCTCGTGACACTGGCCATTTTTTTTACCTCCAACAAAAGAAAAGGAAAACCTCATAGAAAAATAATTTTCGCTTCCACTTCCTGTTAGCAGAGCGCCATCTCTTCGGTGCCCTGGGGTGTAGTTCTATGCGCTACCACTGCTTATTTCTCGCACCACTGTCAAAGTTAGTTTCCCCTTCTCTTAACTGGTTTACTTGTTGAATGGAAACAGCGTCACAGCAAAACGGTTTGGTGCACACAATGACATTTTTAACAGAGCTCAGGATAATTGGCGATGACACCATGTTTACGATGTTACTCTATGACCACATTCTGATGCGCCAGCCCGTTGCGTCCGTGTAGCAACTGAATAAATGTCGAAAACTGCACTATACACTTCCAGTCGCATTTGCGAGGAGCTACGTGCGATAACGAACGTGCCTGTGCGTCGTGTCGCAGCATTCCGCAGAACAGGGTGTGCGATTGTTCGCTCGTCTTGACGCAGCCAGCAGAACAGGGCGACGTCCCATAGCATGCCTTTGGTGTGGGAAATGTTTGCGCCGATATCGAATCTGCAGTAGTAGGTGTTTTGAAAGATCCATTTCATGCAAAGCCATTCTTTGTTATCCTGAACTGACCGTTCCATACTTTTGGTTTACAGCACTTCAACTTGTTAATGGTTTTTGCGCGAAGCCCGAGATAATATTTGCACTATAGCTCTTGACATGCAACGGGTAGCGAAAACCCTTCAGTAATGTCCGTAGCAACAGAATTTTTTTAGAACCATCTATTTTTAACGTCGAAAGTAATGTACAACAACCTCGGAAGAGAGCAGCGCTTCGAGATAGGTAATGGTGCACTTAAAGTTGTAAAAGACTATGTCTACTTAGGACAGGTAATAACCGCAGAGCCGAACCACGAGATTGAAGTAACTAGAACAATAAGAATGGGGTGGAGCACATTTGGCAAGCACTCCCAAATTACGACAGGTAGATTGCCACTATCCCTCAAGAGGAAGGTATATAACACCTGTATCTTGCCGGTACTTAGCTACGGAGCAGAAACCTGGAGACTTACAAAGAGGGTTCAGCTTAAATTGAGGACGATGCAGCGAGCAATGGAAAAAAAAATGGTAGGTGTAACCTTAAGAGACAAGAAGAGAGCAGAGTGGATTAGGGAACAAACGGGGGTCAAGGATATCATAGTTGAAATCAAGAAGAGAAAGTGGACATGGGCCGGGCATGTAGCGCGTAGACAGGATAACCGCTGGTCATTAAGGGTAACTAACTGGATTCCCATAGAAGGCCAGAGAGTTAGGGGGAGACAGAAGGTTAGGTGGGCAGACGAGATTAAGAAGTTTGCGGGTATAAACTGGCAGCAGCAATCACAGGACCGGGTTAACTGGCAGAACATGGGAGAGGCCTTTGTCCTGCAGTGGACGTAGTCAGACTGATGATTATATGAAGATGATGATAATTTTTAACAATATAAGAAGCTGAATAGCTGCCGTGGTTGAATCGCCGATCGATTTATTGCTTTATTGGTAGTTAGGCCCCAAAACCGATGTGCTGAGGTGGCACGAGAAACAATTTGGAGACACTGTACCATACCGCCCATTAAGTGTTCTGAGCTGCACATCCGGGTGATGTTTGAATGTTACTACGTTGGGCCACTGACAGAGTCGCTGTGAATTCAAAGTGGGGCCTTACGCTTGGGTTGTACACATTGATTAATTGTTCACATGTTATAGTGTGTTTCGCGGCGTTACACCATTGCCACAGTCCTAAGTTCAAAACCATGGTTACTGTGCTCAGGTGGACTGAGCGTGTTCGCAACATTACGGGTTTAAGAAAAGTCGCAGCCCATCAATTATGGTCCTGTGCACGACACACACGCACACACATACACTCACACACGCGCACCCGTGCACACCCCCCCACACACAAACGACGTGACCCGAATGCGCAAAAGCCGGATAACATTTTTTGTAATAGTTCTTATGTAGGTTGTGTAAAATCAAATACTTCCTACCTTTTCGTAGCGAACGCCGTTCCACGCAGTTTGATCCATGGCTAGCACTCACAAAAAACTGCAGTAGGTCCACTTAAACGTTTACGGCTTTCGTTTATTAGATTTCCACGCTCAGAAAAGGGACGCTCAGACTGTGCACTGCAAATTTGAGAGCAACAACTGAGGTTAACTAGCCATCGAAAAGTTTTCACCACAGTCCGAGCATCTAGCAGTACTATCCAGTTCCAAGTTGTCGGGTGAAGAAAGGACCACCTCGTCACCGACCGATGCAGTGGACGTCACCTCGTACCGTGCAACGTCGTAAGGCATCGGCAACAACTCACCGCGGCCACCGACAACGTCCTCATCGTCCAGCAGCCTGCCGTCGGCGCTGTAATTGATCGTGGACCACTGACCCTCACGTACGGTGAGTGCGTCGTCCATGACTTGGTTACCGAACACTATCGCCCCGATGAACGTCAGCAAAGAGGCGATCGCCACGAACACGCCCGCCCCATAGATGAGGTTGGCGCGTCGTTCTCGAAGTAGTTCGGCTTGCTCTTGCATTCGGACGTCTTCGGCAGCCAGTGCCTTTGTAAACTGCGTCGGGTTTACGGCGAGTCTATATTGTTCATCAGGGGTTCTGGGACTACGTGGAGTTTGCTCCATGATGGGAGCGGCCGCGCGTCCTTCCGCCATGGCAACGGCACCCGACGGCGGATACAACTCCGGCTGGTGGTCCAAGTCCAGAAGTAAGTTGATGTTGGTGGTGATCGGGGGCTCTTTCAGCGCTGCAGATGGCTTCCGCCGGGGAAACTTGGCCAGCGGTGTCCGGGTAGGTGGCATCGCAGCTCGTTGGACGAAAGGCATCGATGTAAGCGAGCCTTTGGCCTCTTGAAGCAGCTTACTGAAGTGTTACGCCGTGATTTAGTCCAATACGCTAGCAGTACCAGGAGTGGGGTAGAGGGGAGCAGAACCTAGACCGATGGTCACTATTCCTCTTCCTCTTCTTCGTTCCGGCGGTGACGGCACTCCGCATGGGATGCTAGGGCGTTTAGGTTTATAAATTTTGTTGATAATAAATATGTAAAACCATAGAAAACAAAAAGGTAGGTTTAAGCAAACTTACGGGTATGGTTGAACCGACCAGTGCTCATTGAGAGAACAAATATTGACTTGCCAATAAAGTGAAAAAAGAGGTCAAGGTGACGCGATCAAAGTACATAAAATGAAATTGATGCAACCTAAACACTCAATATTTAAAAAGATTATCCGCATTGCATTTTTTAACTTGACAAAAACGTTTTTCCTCTTAATTTTTTTTTACTAACTCTACCTGATTCATGTCCCATCTTCCGCTATTTCTGAGCGTATGAGTTTTGCTCGTCATCATCATTATCGCCAGGGGAAACGCATCCTCCGTGTTCGCCAATCAGCACCATCCTGTCCTTACTGCTACCACGTCATCCCCCAAAATGTCCTAATCTGATTGCTTGAAATACGAACGTGTAACGTGTGCAGAAAAGTTGACAAATATTTGCGTATATACTTGGCTAGCGAGGTCATTGAATGTTGTGATTGCGCCGCTAGATTTGAAGCGCTCACATCTATACCTTAGTGGTGAAGGCGAGATCACGTGGCCTGCTGACTCGCCCATTTAACTCGCTAAAAGTTTTTTCTACTACAGTGCGCGAAAAGTTTTACTACAGCACCTATATTTCAAAACAATTGACCTTGAGGCCACTGTGCATAAACGTTATATTTGGCATTTGTTCGAGTACTCAGAGCCCACTTGCTTTTTTCGCGTCTCTCTCATTTTTATGGATTGCCTAGATTAGTAAAACAGCCACAGACAGCGAGCAAAGGCGTGAACAGCGTAATAAAAATAGATTTAGTCTACATTGATGCAAACGCCGAAGCCTGAGAAGGTCCCTTTGAGCTGAAGTTTTTTTTTTTGAGTAGGCACGAGCTAGAGCTGTCACGGCGTTAAAATAGACTGACGGTTTATTTATTTTGGCAACATGAACATAGGCAGATAATTATCGTTCTGCTCGCACCGATGTGAATCCTATTCGATCCCACATTACACCGTTCAGGCAAATCAAAAGATGGAGGGCAAAACGTGTTTTCGATGAACACAAGTTGACTCTCGCCTTTTAAGTGTCTTACACGTCGGCGCCATCACGAGCCCCACCCTGGGCTTGGCGAGGTCTTCTTGTTGTCTCCGCGGCCGCCAATAATGCCGTTACGAAATCATCGCGTCGTGTTCCTTCGTGCCTTTTCTATTGCGCCGAGATTAGAAGTGGAAGCCTGGTAGCACGTGATTGACGTTCCGCGGATCTCGCACTTTCGATGCTGTCAGCAACCACGCCCTCATGAACCGAAGTGTTCACATAAAGAGGAGCACGCCTAGCACTTTTGCTTATCTGAAAACACCTTTATGTCGTTTATCGGCTGCGTGGCTCGTGAAGATCGAAGCGATGCCGTTGGGTGCGCCGTCCAAGGCGCGTTTATGGGCGTCGGCCTTGAACACTGTCGGCTTCGAACGTTGATTAGTTGACACATACTCCTTATACTCTCTTGTAGAAAACGGATTCAGACCAACCTATCAGATTTTGTGACAAAATAAACGATTCTCTGTCGTTCTTCATACTAAATTCACGGCGTGCACACTTCTGGTACTTAATTATTATGCATCAATAAATGACTATCTCTCTTTGTTTTTGTCGTGCCAGGATCATGCTACACCTCATTTACACGAGCTCATCATCCTCACTTATGACAAGTCTCAATTAACCGGAGGTTAGTAACGCTACCGTCACTGGCAGTTGGCACCTCTCACAAGAAAAAAGTCGTCCTTTGTTTTGGGCCGATTTTTTGTTTTGAAGCAGTTCACAAGACACTTGGAATCGCGCATAACGCTATAAAACTTTATCTTCTTTGCGTAAGGGTACTGAATGTTTTTTAAATAAATCCTTGTTGTTTTGCACGAGGATGTAGCGTCAAATGTTTCGACAATATTAGTGCATGTAAAGGCCAGTCTCGCAACCATGGGCGAAATCACCTTGCGGTTGGTGTGAAAGCCCAGAAAATGGGCTGCTTCATATGTTTGGTATAGCTGTGTTTGGTATCTGGTTTGTTTTGCCTGCTTGTTTTGTGTACAAGCGTCACTACGACGAGAAAGATCAGTAGAACTTTTTTTTTTTTCGCAAGGACGTTTCGGCCTGCGTTTGAACACGCCTGCCGCCACTTTCCATGCTAGGTCATACTGATGGCTCTCCCACCCCATCGTTGGCCGGGAAAGGCCCGGCCTGAAAGGGCAGCGACTGCGGTCATAACGCAAGGAACGTACGTCAAGTATAGATGAGAAATATACTTGTCTTTCAGAAATACTTTTCAAATACCAAAAATTTGTTCTGAGAACGTCTATGCTTAAGGAGCTCACGATGTCAAGAGAGACCATATGCGCGCAGGTGGGGGTGCCGTCCGGTCCCTTCAGTTACTTCACAGGGCGGGGGGCACGAATTTCTGTCCCATACATTGCATTAAGGAAACCGCTTATCATAGGGATTTTTTGTGTGAGATGATGACAGCATGTAGGATTTATTTGGATATGTAAGACTACATAAATATCCAGATAAAAGACTACCCACTTCTCAGCTCTTATCCAGCAACCCTACCTTTCCCAACCTGCGTTCTTTTCCGGGTTGCCGCGTGATGTGTGAGCGGAAGAAACATGCTTGCATAAATAAAAGTGCTAAACATTATGCATAAAGAATGAAGGGAAAGAAACAAACAAACAGGAAGGGTGGGCTGTGAGTTAAGTTAGAGAGGAGCTGGCAGGGGAAAGTTGGAGAGGAGCTGCACGTGGTTTGAAGCACGTGGCATACATTTGATGCACGTGGTCGGAGCGTGCAATGCAGTGAGACATGGTCGGCGTGTCAAAATCGTTGCTCTGATCTTTCCGCTTTACCAAGCCGCTTGCTTCAGCGATGCACGAGGGTGGTGTGGCGGCATGGTAATAATAAATAAAAAAAAAGAGAACAAACAGGTCACACGCGGTGGCAAGCATCCCTCATAATCCCCCTCCCTCCCGCTGCGCTTCCTCCCATCGTTGTCACTGAACGGCAGCCCGATTTAGAGCAGCTGGCATGAGGCCAGGGTTGTTGCCAAATATTGCCGCGGAAAGAAGGCGCCAGCCGGAGAGCGTTGTTTAGCAGATGCGTCCCCCAGCTAAAGGGGAAGCCTTCTTGTAAGTCACACTTGGCAGCGGTACTTTCCTCGTCTTACTACACGCTACTACACTATTCAATAACGCAGTTGGGAGTTGTGGAAACAGCGCACCATGTCTCTCGAGGAAAGCTTCGGATTAATTTTGAGGGCTTTGGACTTTCTTGCCTTCTCAAAAAGCACACAGAGTGTTTTCGCATGATGCTTGCCCTGAGTTGATGTAGCGCCTAGAGTGGCTTGCTAGGCGAGTGGGTTCAGCGTCATAGCAAACAAATTATCGTAAAAAAAACAGGGACGGAGGAGGCATCTCACGAACAAAGCGCGAACAGTGTTCGTGATGTTCTTTCTTTGTACCCGTCTTTTTTTCTGCACTAAATTCTGCCACGATACTGCAGTGGCAGCGTACTTCATTCCTGCTCAGCCGTGGTTCTGGCTTTTATTACGCCACTCCGGGGGTGTTCTAATTAATCATATACTGAGTACGGGAGGAACTATCTCCCTTGCATACTTAAGAAAGAAAGAAAGAATAAAAAAGTCACAGCATATCCACGCTATGAATGATGACGAGTGGGGTGACGCTTGCGAGAGTTTCATTGGTAAAGCGTGAATCCTCCCTTACGCATTTCAACAGTCTATTTGAAAAAGCTTTTTGCAGTGGTAAATAGCTCTTCCCCACAGAGATGTCTTTACACGATCTCGACGCGCCAAATGGCTAAATGGTACGCTGTTCATGCGCTATCGGTGTGTATAGTTTTTATCGTACTTGCTCTTCATGAACCTAAACCTCACGTCATAAAGCGAGAACCATGCAGTGCACCATAAGCTCAGGTGAACTCGGGTTGTTTGATGCCACCGAAGTTACATACGCATTTTCCGCTTCTGTTTGCTGGTGTTCAATCTTTCCCTATCGGCCAATGCATCGATGAAAGGTCGTAGGAGACTACCGGTTGTGTGGAACGACGAGTAAGGTCACAGCCTTCCAGTGCCTTTCAGATATGGCTGAGGCTCTCTTCATCGCAGGAACAAGATTGTATACGAAAAGTATAAAAAAAGAAAACGGCGTGAAATGTGCGAAGCTTGCAGTTCATGTACACTGTCATCGTTTATCAAAGGAAACACGTGAACGCGTGGCCTGTGCTTTGCGGCGGCTGTCTACAGGACCATCATCCACCGTCAGCGAAAGAAAAGACGTTGGCTTTTGGCGTCATCTATTGGCAAACGAAACAACGAGTTATGGCTGCTGGACAAGTTCTGGAAGATACTGAAAGCAGCCGTTGGGGGGGGGGGGATCAGGTAGCGTGTTCTCTTTCATTAAGAACGACGTTGTACGACAACGAACAGCACAGCAAGCGCAAACGTGACGTGCCTCGCCCGCGTAGCAGCTAACGTGTCGGTCTCCTGAGCTTGAGGACTGGGGTTTAGTTTCACGCCTTGGCAGCGTCATTCAGACAGGGATAAAATGCAAGACCACCACTTGTAGTTGACCACCATGTCCCCGCAGTTTTAGTCTGCGGCCGTGAGTGCAGTGTAAGCGAGCCTGCCATACCCACCTGCGTCCTGAATCGTACATGCAAGTCTTCAGCCCTCTTCCTTCCCTCTCCCTTTCTTCTGTTCACTTTGCTGTGCTAGCAATACCCCCCCCCCCCATGTGCTTAGATTTGGGTGCTTGTTATACTGCTACTTTGCCACCTTGGTGCACCTTGCAATTGTGTACTGATTCTGGCATGTCAGATCACGGAATTCAACTTTATGACTCTCTAAAATGAATTCGACAATGTGGCCAACTTCGAGGACATGTGCAGACGCGCACTGTTGTAGCATTGAAACTTGATACGAAATAAATCACAGCATATCCACTAGGTGAATGATGACGATTGGACGAAGCTGCGGAGGTTTCATCGGTACACGTAAATCTTCTGAGAACTTAGCCTGGTCGATCTTCATGTAAGGACAGCGAGCACGTGTTCCAGCCGTTTTACGAGCCCTTCGTTCTTCCACCGTGTATTCGCCGCTCATACTCGAAGCGCACAGACTCCCGGCGAAAGAGGAAACACGCCAGGAGCGAACGCATTTTAATGCAAGCGCTAACGTAGTGATCTACCACACGAGAGCACGTAGCAAGCGCGGCAACGCCACATCATACTCAATTCATCACCTATGCCGCGCGAGCACCATCTCGTGATCTCTTATCACACTATGTGCTCCCATGCATGGCACCGCAGCGCTATCCAGGGAACACTCTGAAAAATGGAAGTGGCTACAAGCACGGCGGACTTGCCTGCATCTTGAGGAGCTTCCATCCTAAATACACTTCATAATGTTTAAACTATTTCTCACAATAGCCATATTTCCTACTCATTTGCGCTGTTTATTAACAAGCATTGAACGCTGATTACACATCATTCCTATTCTTTCCTCGTCCCATGTTGTCACAGTTTTTCAAGTCTGATGAACGCTATTGTGATCATGGCATTTGCTGTAGGATCATTGGTTAACCAAATTAATTTGCAATAATGTGCAGGGCTCTCGTTCTTGATTGAGCGACTTTCGTGTATTTTTCTAATAACTTTTCTAAACAAATCACACTTATCAAATTTTGTTTTATTGCCGCATGGACACTCTAGGCGCATTTTCGCCGTTGGTGTGGCCTTGATGTTCCCTATAAAGACAAAATCAATGACATTATCCCATGTGTAATATCGTTCTACACACCAGTGAACGAGTACGAGTGCCGCTGACGATCGAGAGGTTAAAGGCACCAGCTGCTTTTTGACGTGAGAAATGTGCATAAAGAGTTAGGAGCAGAAGAAGGGATACACTCTGCCGGCAGGACATGCGCAAGTTGACCATCCGGGCCTGGTAGTCCATGGTTGTGCCATCCGCAACTTCAGAAGAGAACTAGAAGTCTCATACCGAGGTACGTTTTATACTGCCGTCACAATGCAAGGGAAAAAGAAATGGTAGACAAGGAAAGACTGGGAGGTTAACCAGTCCAGGAAAGCCGGTTTGGTACCTTAAGCATGGGAACTGGACGGGAAGCTTGCATTGAAGCCATATAGAACGTGAAGGCTACTTATAGCTCTGCGAAATGACCACGCTTTTTAAAGTAGTGAGCCTTACTTGACATAGCATTCAAACTTGTTGCTATCGCATTCACTGCTTCACCGGTGCGACAAAATTGGGAGTTCCTAATAAATTCAAGATATCTAGCTGAAGGCCTACTAGAAGTAAAAAAAATTACAATGATCACGATATATATGGGATTAGTCAACTTACCTTTAATTTGAGAATCTGGTAAGCCTGCTCGTAGGCACTCTGAACCCTGAGGACGAAAAGGAAAAAAAAAGCAAACTGTACAAAAATTGGAACGCTAAGTGCACACGATAACTCAAAGCAATCGTTTCGATCACCATTGTGTTACGGTGTGTCAGATGATAGCATCCGAAGAACACCGACCACATGGTGAGAGGCGAAACACGTTTCAATTCTTGCAAAATACATGAAATGGCCAACTGTGCACTTTTATATATTAACTACGACCTTTTGAACCGTCCCGCTTTTCATGCCAACAGCTGAAAATTGTTCTAATCAACTCTCTATGTAGAGACATCACAATTTATATATATCGGTGTGCATGAAAAGAACGATACAGAATTTGCATGTGCCTCATGTTTTTTAAAAGCAGTATACAGATATCTTGGTAGCATAAGAACCTGCCACGATAGTGGGGAACTCGCTCTCATGATCGAGCATCTGCCACTACACTTGGAAGCAGATAATTACTGTTGCCAGGATACCTATTGGCTAAACCTGCTCACCCCGCTAATGGTAAACTTGTGGTGTGCGAGTGCTACCTAAAAAGATCACACCATATTCACGGAGTGAATAATGATGAGTGCAGCGAAGCGTAGGGCAGTCCGTCCGTGTTTCTGTCCGTACGTCCGTCGATTCGAGTGTCTACCCGTGCGTCCGTCTATCTGTACGTCCATGTGTCCATCCATGCCTTCTTCCGTGCGTCCTTTCATTCATCCGTTAATCCGTGCGTTCTTCCGTGCAACCGCCCGTGCGTTCATTCATGCCTTCGTCCATCCGTCCGAGCGTCCATCCGTGCATACATTCATCCATCCGTCCATGTGTCCGTCCGTCCCACTCTGCACCTGTCTGTCTGTCCTTCCATCGCTCCATGCATCTACCCGTCCGTCCCTCTGTCTGTCTGTCTGTCTGTCTGTCTGTCTGTCTGTCTGTCTGTCTGTCTGTCTGTCTGTCCGTCCGTCTGTCTGTCTGTCTGTCTGTCTGTCTGTCTGTCTGTCTGTCTGTCTGTCTGTCTGTCTGTCTGTCCGTCCGTCCGTCCATGCGTCCATCCTTCCATCTAGTGAACACTAAAGGTATCGCCACCTGACACCTCTTCAATAGATTCGTCATATACAAGTAACACCATCCAGGAGACATTCGAAAGACTAAACCAGAGGTGGCTACCTACTACTACTACTACATACATCGGGGACGCACGACCCACGGCTTAAGGAGCTTCGCCCCTAAAAGTACCACCCTAAAATAAAAGTTTAATTGACACCATAGCTATTTAGGTTCGAGGTTCGGCGCCGGATCGTTCGTATAAACTCGTGTAGCCTAGCAACCACTTGGCTAGCACCCAGATTCATCGAGTGTATGCATTGGATGGAGGAAAGGACATATTGAAAAAAACCGGGGTTTAACGTAACAAAACCGCAATATGATGGCGAGGGACGCCGTGATGGACACCGGAAATTTCCGTAATGTGATCTTTACGCGTACTAACATTTTGGCCTCTACCCTTTTGCCTCCACCGCTATGTGACCGCCACAGCCGAGATCGAACCTGCGACCTTCGGATCAGCAGCGGAGCACCGTAACCACCATGTGTGCCATAGAATGCAAATCTGCATGTTTAGAAACGAAATGGTGGTTCTACCGCAGTGGTATAGTCCCTCTAAATCTTCCAGTGTTCGTTGATGAATTTGAAGGGGACTAGCAAAAAGTCATCTTCAGAACGCCAAGAGAAGAAAAGATTTCAACATTAGCTCGCGTCATGTCACTCCAATCGGCAAGATTTTGAAACGTGCCTATCTTACGCAGGATGTTTAGTTGAACGGCTTGCGTTATGAGTAAAATAATGCGTTTTTTTTTGCTACGAATCTACGATACCCTGACGACCGAAAACGTTCAGACCATGAATAATAGCCCGAAACAGGCCTGGTTAAAAATGAAGCTTGTTCAGTATAGCTGTAATCAGCCAGACTCAACTGCGACGTTCGTGCGTATTGAAGCCTTCTATGAGTAATGCCCAGAGTAAATTTCTCTAAAAAGATTGCGTTGATTTTTAATATTATCCAATTGCAAGGAAATAAGCAACAGGTGTCCTCTTCCGTACCCTGAAGATATGTGCCGAAATATACTACCGTAAGTCAGTTATTTGCAGCCAATTGCGAAATCATGCCTTTAAATGTGGGCAAACCTTTGTACGTGCCGCTTCATTTCTACTTCTGTAGTCGGTCGAATAAAACCTACGAGGCCACAATTGCCTTTATGCCCAAAGTCATAAAGTTTCGCAAAATTAACTGGAGGGGACTCTGTCGCTGCAATATGTCAGCGGCCATGGGAATAATTGGTAGTACACACATTTGCCTAGTCTTCGTACTTGCTGCTTCGTTTATTGCTGTGTTTCGGTTTTGTTTTGAAAGAAATATTTCGTCTTTTTGAACTTTGTGACCCGATTTAGAAAAATAACTCTAAAAGAATAAGGTGGTGAAGCGCAACCGCTGAACATTGGCTGATTTTTGTTTCGTGAGAAAACAGCTCCAAGCCACATGAACACACACGTAGCCAAAAGCAGGCCAGAGGTACGAAGATTAGACAAATGCCGGTACTACCCATAATTCCCATGCTCGCTGAAGCGCCGTGCGTTGCAGCTCCCATAGACACGAGCGCCAGAGTTCCCTCCAGTGTATAGTAGAAAACTCTATGCCAAAAGTTAACTTAAAGTTAACCCAAAGGTAACCATGCAAAAACGTTGTTGCGTCGTTGCTGTACGGTTCGCGCTAACGGAAATGGCAATGCACACTGCGCTGCCTCATCTGAATATTCCGTGAACGTCGTTTTTGCTCTCTTTTGCTCCGAGAATTGTCAGAATTCACCTGATTGCAGCTAAATTTGAAATGAAAAAAAAACGAGAGTTTGATGCCATCGAAAAATGCACATGTTGTCGGTATCAGAGAACATGTCCGAATCATCTGACTTCCCGAATCAACGGGTGCCGAAATACCAATTGTGCACTGCGTAGCATTCTGATTGATTCGCGTTCTTTTCCTGCAGACAGAGTGGGCGTTATTTGATGCAGCCAACATCTCGCAACAGGGCATTGTGAAAGCACGGCATGCACGTCTGTGTGAGCATACATCATGGTACCCTGTTGAACTATTGACAATACACTTGTTGCAGGTCAAATTGTTGAAGGTCTGAGAATGAAGCACAGCCCTGCCGCGGTGGTCTAGTGGCTAAGGTACTCGGCTGCTGACCCGCAGGTCGCGGGATCGAGTCCCGGCTGCGGCGGCTGCATTATCAACGGAGGCGAAAATGCTATGTCCGCGCGCTCAGATGTAGGTCCGTGGCACTAATGTCATGATTGTCATGCTTGCACCAGTCATACACCTTCGACATGCAGTCATGTCCCGCAATACCCAATTTTGTATATGTGAAGTTAGCGAAACGACCGCGAACGCATTATGAGCGTGGCGTTAGCCATGACTATAGACATGTAATTCGCGACATGTGTGTCATGATATTCATGGTATGGTCTGTCATTAACGTTCACCATGCAGTCACGTCATACCATTTCTGCTTTGCGAAATGCCATATGAAGTAAACTACCGAAAGAGCTGCAAGACCATGAAATGCAAGTCATGACAATCCATGTCATGATTTTGATGTTATGAGTCATGACAAGTCAATTAGCTCGTCATACAGTCATGTTATGCCATTCCAGTTTTGGTATCGGTACCGTTATCCAAACGGCCAGGAGAGCTAAAAGTCGTGGGCGGCTAGATGGATACGCTCAAAGTCACCTAAGTTCGCTAAGAAATGCTTCGCATTTAAAAAGTAAATGGCGTTCTGTTCCAGTCGTCTTAAGAAAACGCATAGGAGACGATTTCTTGGACGAGAGTGTATGTGTCGAAAGATTGTCCCTTTTGTAACAGAATGGTGACATGCACCCCACCCAGTTCAACATTTCCTTCTTCTTCTTCTTCTTCTTCTTCTTCTTCTTCTTCTTCTTCTTCTTCTTCTTCTTCTTCTTCTTCTTCTTCTTCTTCTTCTTCTTCTTCTTCTTCTTCTTCTTCTTCTTCTTCTTCTTCTTCTTCTTCTTCTTCTTCTTTTTCTCTTTCTTTTTCTTCTTCTTCTTCTTCTTCTTCTTCTTCTTCTTCTTCTTCTTCTTCTTCTTCTTCTTCTTCTTCTTCTTCTTCTTCTTCTTCTTCTTCTTCTTCTTCTTCTTCTTCTTCTTCTTCTTCTTCTTCTTCTTATTATTATTATTATTATTATTATTACCACCTGATTATGACCAGTGAAACAGGGTTTTATTCTTATTACAAAACCTTATATATTCACAGCGTAACGTTGTGTGCGTTACCCCAGATTAACCTTGGTTTTTCTTCTTTTTTACTGCTTGTTTATTCCAGCGATCATTCACTGATTATTATCGTAGACGTATAACCTTGTGATGATGTGGTGGTGCTGGTGCTGCTTGAAAAAGGAGAAAATGCACCGAATTCGTGACATGACACAGTGTCCTGTTGGAGACGGAATATGGGATAAACAATCAGAAAAAAATGAACAAGAGAGAGCACTCGCCGCCGCACAGGAGCTACAGAAAGAAGACAAAAGAGATGGGAAAGATGAAGAGCACCCTCAAGACTTCAAAAGTACTCGGCACCTTGTAATTAAGCAAGAGCATCGTCAGTCTCAGGCACAGGAGAGACGTCCTTACAGGTAATCTTGTTCAGGGCTCCATAGTCGACGCAGAATCGAATGGAGCCATCATGCTTTTTCATGAGTATAACTACAGGAGAAAACCACGGGCTCTCTGAAGGCCTGATAACGTTGCGTGCGAGCATGTGATTGACTTGTTATTCCATAACCTTGCGCTTAGAAGCTGATGCGCCGTAAGGGCGGCCGCGAACGATACGGGATCCGTGTTTGTCGATGCGTTGAGCAGCCACGGTTGTTTGGCCGAGGCCATCGGAACAAACGTCGCAGAAAGTTTTGTACTTCATTGTTATGGTCAGCAAGGCGT